GTCTATCTTTGGCTCCCGTAATTTCATCAACGACCACCCCTGCTAACTGGAGTCTAGTATTCATAGAAATATATGGAGTGATTTGCGCTAAATCCCATCCCACACCACTCTGTCATAACTCCTTTACTGTAGCATTCACCAGCCCTGCAGGTATCGATGCCGTTGCTTCCTCTATTAACGATGTGTGTAACAACCATTTTTTTTCCCAAAACCGGATACTACGGCCATCTCCGACTATCCATCTAGTCCCGGGGATCACAATCTTACGCATATCCACCAACAGACTTCTCCATGTGGAAGACCAATTCACCTTCTCAGCATACCAAGAAGTATTTCTCAACTCCTTCACTTTATACTTGCATCTCACCACCTTTGCCCATAGGCTTGTTTCATCATGTATCAAGCGCCATCCTAGCTTGGCAATAAGCGCCGTATTCATCTCTCGTGCCAGTCGAATTTCCAGCCCCCCTTCAGCTTTAGGACGACATATTTTTTTCCAAGCCACAAGATGCTGGTGTCTCTGCTCAGTTGTGTCTCCCCAAAGAAAGGCTCTCGAGATTTGATCCAATCTGTTTAAAGTTGACTTGGGCAAAACAATGGTACTCATCGTATGAACCGGAATGGATGAGAGAACAGCTTTTGTCAAAGTAATCCGTCCTGCAAAGCTTAACATTCGCCATTTTCATCCTGCCAGTCTCGACGACACTTTCTCCAAGACTTTCCCAAACGTGTCTTTGTTGATTTTTTTTTGTAGCACTGGCATGCCAAGGTATTTCCACAAATCTGTAGTAGCTCCAATTCCACTCTCTGCACTAATCTGTCTTCCCATTTCGCAGTTCACATTCGCCGAGAAGTAGATTTTTGACTTCTCTAGGCTTATCTTTTGTCCAGACGCAGTACAAAATCTTTCAAGCACCCTGCAGATGACTCTTATCTGAGCTACTGAAGCTTCTGCACATAGAATCAGATCATCAGCAAAACATATATGCGATAACTTGGGCCCTCTCTGCGAGATAGTGATTGGTTTCCACTCCCTCTGTTCTATCGATCTCTCCCCTAGATGACACAAATGTTCCAAGCAAAGCACAAACAAATAGGGGGATAAGGGATCACCTTGCCTTAGTCCACGTTGGGGGTATGAAAGTATATGTTCTCTCCCTGTTCCACAACAAACTCATCGATGGTCCCGTGAAAGTATATGAAAACCAATTCATTAAAGTTATTTTAACAATAAATATATAATTAAATAAATAATGAAACTTAATTATGAATTAATTACTCAAAACTAAATAAAAAAAATAAAAAAATAAAATTGCCTTCTATTATGAGCTTTTTGCGTAATCTTTCTTAATCTTATATTTTATGTTTAAAAGCGATCTAATTTTATTTTCTATTTTTTCTTATTTTTAATTTCTTTTTAAAGGGTATATAATAATTAATTATAAATACATGTATATGTAAATCAAAATCAAAATTAAAATGCTCAAAAATGCATGTGAGCCAACTGATATTTTGCCACATTTAACAAATGTTTTCAATTTAAAAAATCAAATATAATTATAAATATAAATATAATTTAAATAAGAATATGATAAATATATTATTAATCTAGGAATCTAAAATTCTTAAAATTTGGAAATATGTAATAAGATTTAAACGGAAACAAATAAAAAGAAAATTCTTCTTTTTATACGAATTATTCAATATTTTTTACTGGAGTCATAATCTAGTCTTATTATATAAAATTAGATGCATCAAAGTTAGTAATCCACAAGACAAGAAAAAGATAAATGTGTGTAATGAGGCTACACCTAACATAAGGGTTACTTTGACTTTATTATAAAATTTTCTCTATTATATTTTCATATGGAAAAGACAGATGTGTATAATGAAACTACATCTATCATAAGAAGGATTATTTTGACTTTATTATTAAAAGAAAGTTAAGTGTTTTTTTCACATAAATCTATTTTCTGTACGCATTTTTAATTAATAAAGATTATTATATTATCTGTCTCTGCTTTGTTTATTTTGATTTACAGTGAGACTTTTTTTATATATATTTTTGTGGAATTAAGATATCAACGAAAATATGAGTAAGAATAAACCAAACAATTAGAACATAAATATCATGGAGTTAAAAGTGATAACATTGTTATTATCATGACAAGTGTTTTGATCAAAATTTATCAAGTTGTAATTTGTTTGTCATATTCAGGATCTAAGTTCTATTTGAATCGTTATTATGATTCTGTTAATTTATTTTGAAAAAGATATCTGACTTTTATTTTTAAGTCTTATCTAATTATTTTAATTTCTTAATATTTTAATTGATAGACTAATTATTTTTTTGTATTCCATTAGTTGTCGCTATGATGGTTGCTAAGCTTGTGGCTTCAGTTAGTTCGTGCTCCTCGGTTTGGTTTATCTGGTTATTTGGTTAGTAAGGATTTAAAATTTCTAACCAAATTGAACCGAACAAAATTATGGATTAGTTTGGTTCCAGATAGTTTGGTTTTTGAAATTTATTGTCAAAATGATCCGAAGTTTTTGATTTTTTGTTCAAAATTGGGTAAATTTTGTTTTTTTAATTAGTTTGGTTAGATCAGTTCAATTAAAATTTAAAATAGGATAATAATTAATTGAATCATCAAAATTTAGATTATATAAAAAAAATTAATTAGAAACAAATAAAATAAAATTTTAACGATTATTCTAACATTGCTTTTATTTTTAATTTGTTTTAACAAATTTTAATATAACTTGTTACAAAATCCGCGAATACATATTATTTAATATATATTAAAAGTAAATGTTAAAGGAAGAAAGTTTAATTAAAAAAAAAATTATCTACATGTTATCACTAGGAATTTGTTTTGCTTTCTCCACATAAAAATTATTATATTTTCTTCCATTGCTTGATATAACTGTATAATTTTCATTCCGCCCAATATTAGTTTCGGTTACATTGTCAATGAGTTAATAACTTAATACTCCCTCCGTTTTTAAATAAATAATGTTTTAGTTTTAAGATATTTTACTTTTTAGTTAGTTTTTTTGTTTCTCAATACAATTATACCAATAGAATTAAAGTAAAAACAATATTTAATTAACTAAAAACTAAAACATCACTAAAAATCTTAAAACATCATATATTATTAAACAGAGGTAGTACTTAATAGGGTTAATAAGAACGAACAACAAGAGAAAGGGTTTCGGAATCATAGTAGTAGCTCCCGTCGACGAGTGAATCTGATTCTAGGGATGAAAGGAGTGTATCCGGCCATGAAAAGACGGCGGAAGAAAGCCTCCGAGAATGCTCTAACCATATCCCGACGCTACACACGATCTCCAACCTCAGTAGAAAACTCCGAGACGATCCCAGTTGATCTCATCATCGAAGTACTATTGAGATTGCCGGCGAAATCTATAGGGAGATGTCGCTGTGTATCGAAGCTATGGTCTTGCACACTTGTGGGTCCATATTTCACGGAGCTGTTCCTGACCAGGTCCTTTGCTCGCCCGCGACTCTTGTTCTCCTTCCAAGGTAGTTATGGCGATGATTTGCTCTTCTTCTCGGCACCTCAGGTCCGAAATCCGGTTGAGAACTCGTGTATTGTACTGGCCAATCACCATATGAAGTTCCCTTTTGATTATCAGTCCAAAACTCGTGGCCCTGTCCGCGGTTTGGTCTGTATAACATATCCTCAGAAGTTAGACGGAAGGAAGAAAACTGAGCCTTTGATATGTAACCCTAGCACGGGGCAATCTTTACGTATACCTATACCCAATTTGAAGACGAAGAGTGTTGTGGTGAACAGTCTTCTTGGGTTTGATCCAGTTGGTAAACAATACAAGTTATTGTCCATGACCTCCAAGGCTGTATTTCGCGGAGAATGGGTTTCTTTTGAGGAGCATAAAGTTCTGACATTAGGGACTCAAAAGCTTTCATGGAGAATGGTCAAATGTTGCATCTCCCATTATAACCTTGAAACAAATGATGGGGTATGCATCAATGGTCGTTTGTATTATGTAGCTTTGCTCAATGACCCTCCAAGGACTTCTGTGATGATTTGGTTTGATGTTAGGTCTGAGAAGTTTGGATTTGTTAACAAAGCTAAGGACATGGTACTATGGAGACACTCAACTCTTGTAGACTACAATGGTAAATTAGCTGCTCTTTTTTCAGGTGAGTGTGACCTAGTTACTAGAGACACTACATGTCTTGAGTTGTGGGTTTTAGTAGACGCTGAGAAACATGAATGGTCCAAACATATATCCGTATTGCCCCCTTTGTGGAAGGATGTGGTTGCGGAGGCTCAATTATACTTTGTTGGACTGATCGGTACAGATGAAATCGTGTTGTCGCCACGCTATCTATTGGACGACCCTTTCTATGTTTTCTACTACAGCATCAAGAGGAACACTATCACAAGAGTCGAAATCCAAGGAATCGAAGCGTTCGGGATTGCAGAGTTCACATCTCTCTAGATCATGTAGAAGACGTGAAGCTTTGGCAAAATGTTTAGGACTCTTACTCATTTTACGTTGTTGGTAGGTTGTTTTCCTTCTTTTTTGTGTGTGTGTGTATGTGATGGCTGTTCATCTTTCAACCAGTATTCATTCTAAAGTTAGCTAGAGTTTAACCAATCAACGTTCCTCTTGGATGATGCTAGTGTTTATGAGTGATATCTCCCCTAGTTGAAACTTGAAAGAACAAAACAATAACATACAAAGTCAACTTTGATGTTGTGCAATTTAGTATTCTAAACCAAACCCCCTTAAACTCTCTTTACAAATAAAACAATAACATACGAAGTCAAAATTTGATGTTGTACAATTAGTATTCTAAACCATAAACCTTGAACTCTGTTTATAAACAAATCAAAAAAGTACGACGAACCCTTCTTCCCAAATGTTACTATCGTTTACTCGGTCATCTAAAATTATCAAATAACGGATGTATTTTAATCCTATGATCTATCAAACAAATAGTTCAAATAAATACGTTTGCTATCAAACCTCATTATATACTTTGCAGATATCTAAAACTAAGAAACAAAAATCATCTGTGAGATATCCACAGCTCCAAACCATGGAGGTCAACGTTGAAGAAAATCGTCAACATGAAGAATCAACGGAATGGTTCGTAAAATACCTAAACCGTCAAGGCGATTGGCTAGAGAAAACAAGAGGAAATCTAATGGTTGCAGCAACGGTTATAGCCGCTATGAGCTTTCAAGTTATGATTAGTCCTCCAGGTGGCGTATGGCAGAGTGATGGTTGTTCTTCCGGAAATCAAACTGTTTGCAAGGGGAAAGCCGGAACTGCGGTACTGGAGCACGAGAGTTCGAAGCGTCGACTCTATCTTGGAATGGTTATTAGCAGTACGGTATCATTTTCTGCCTCTATGAGTCTCATTCTCCTCGTCATCAGCGGTTTACAACTCAGGTACCGGTAGATTTTGAATTTTTTTGTGCAAGTTTTTTTGACAAGATATTATTTAATAGGTAGTGAAGTTTTCTTATTTTGTTTAATTGTCATCTATTCAACAAACCCGTATGATTGGTGAGAAATATTGACTCGATCATCAGTTGATTGGACTTTGTGACAAATCGATTTCATAAATCATAGTTATCTGATGGTCTTTTTTGAGAATTTGTTTGGTTTTAACTTCTAAGATAAATTAAAAACATATAATAATTTGATGTTATATAATTCATTTGTAGGAGCCTGATGATAATGGCAATTCTGGTAATGTTGATGGTGGCAGCGGTTCTTTGTATATCGGCGGCATTTTTCTTGGCGGTGGCGTTGGTTAATACGGACGATCAAATCATTTCTGATATACTAATGATTTATTTTGGATTTTGGATTGTGTTTCCTATTTTAATACTCATAATCCAACTCGTTCGATTTATAGGTTGGCTTATTTGTTTTATATGTTGTTGTCGTCCACGTCGACGGCGTTCCCCTCGAAGGTTGCCACCATTGGCTCCATCTCTTGCGCATTAACGAAGAGGAGGAATGATCAGTGGCTCGAACCCACGTATGAAATAAATAAAAAATGGTGATTACTAGAAGAAAAGTCTCCCATGTTCATTATTAGAAGGTTTAACGTTGATTGTATATATGGGTTTGTTTAATTACTGCATCTGTTTTGTTAATATTTTTCAGTGTGCATCGTGTGGTTAATCTAGTTGCTTGCGGTCTAGTTAACAAATAATTACCTTTACCAATCAATCGTCTTCTAAATATAATGGGTGCAAAAAACGTTGCAATTGAAAAGAACAAGTTGAATAGGATGAATAAAATGAGTTGAATAAGACGATTTTAACTCATTTTATTCATCTTATTCAACTTGTTCTTTTCAATTGCAACGTTTTTTCTTTCTGTTACTCTAATGTGAGAGGAATGTCAAAAAACAAAATTTTATAACAAATGGTAGTTTTTTTGGAGGAATGTAGAGTAACACATCCAATTTTGTTATGAGAGAGATTAACATCTTAAAAACAAAGATATATAGATTTAACAAAGAAATGTTTTTTACTGAATATACTGATTCTCATTAAATCAATCTGAATGTACAGAGATGATATATATAGTATCTGTAATCTATACTAAACCGAACTTTATCTACACTGGTTTATATTATACCAGTTCACAAAGACTCTATTTGCAATGTATATACCAATAGGCCCCCTCAAGATGGGACGAAGATATTTAGGAGACTCATCTTGCCAAACAATTTCTGAAATGGTGCAGGGTAAAGAGGCTTTGTGAAAGGATCAGCGAGCTGAAGATCAGTCCGCACATGTAAGAGCTTGAAGAAGCCTGCAATCATACGTTCACGCACACTATGGCAATCGGATTCGATGTGTTTGGTGCGCTAGTGAAAAACTGGGTTATGTGTGATGTGAATCGCAGCAGTGTTATCGCGGAACAGAAGAGTAGGCTTGACAAGATGACACTGCAGTTCACGAAGAAAGTATGTAAGCCATACCAGTTCATCGGAAACAAAGGAGAGGCTGCGATATTCTGCTTCTGCAGAACTTTTGGAGACGACTTGTTGTTTCTTGGATTTCCAGGATATCAGAGATGTACCCAAGAAAATACAAAAACCCGAAGTCGATCTTCTGGTGTCTTGGCAAGAAGCCCAGTCAGCATCAGCGAAAGCCTGGAGTTGAAGTTCAGACTTAGCAGAGTAGAACAAGCCCTGACCAACAGTTCCTTTAATGTACTGAAGAATCTTCATAACGCCCTGTTGGTGAGCTTGTCGAGGTGCAGCTGAAAACTGACTAAGCTTGTTGACTGCAAAGGTGATATCCGGTCGTGTGATCTGAAGATACATCAACTGGCCAATCAAGCGGCGATAAGCCTCTGCATCAACAAAATCACCACCACTGTCTTTGGAGAATTTGACATGTGGATCCATTGGGATAGAAGAGGGCTTGCATCCAAGAAGACCAGTTTCATCGAGTAAGTCAAGCGCATATTTGCGTTGACAAACGTGAATACCTTCTGCAGAGCGAGCTATCTCCAGTCCAAGAAAATACTTCAGTTCACCAAGATCACGGAGCTTGAAGTGAGAAGTGAGTTGGGATTTCAGAGTAACAACTTCAGAGTCATTATTACTGGCAATGACGATATCGTCCACATAGACCAACACACAGAGAAAAACAGCATCCGTGATTTTGAAAAAGCAAGTGTGATCACCGTTAGTCTGAGTGAAGCCCAAGCCAATGAGAGTAGAAGAAAACTTAAGGAACCACTGTCGTGACGCCTGTTTCAAGCCATAAAGGGATTTTTGTAACTTGCAAACAGCGTTGGGAGGAAGAGTATTCCCTTTCTTATCAGCATAACCTGGCGGAAGCTTCATGTAAATCTCTTCATCTAAATCACCATTAAGAAAGGCATTAGAGATATCGAGCTGATGAAGAGAGAAACCGTGAATGGCCGAGAGAGCAAAGACCAGCTTGACTGTTGTTAACTTGACTACCGGTGAAAAGGTGTCATGATAATCAATCCCCTCTTTCTGAGTATATCTCTTTGCCACTAGCCGAGCCTTGTAACGTTCCACACTCCCATCAGCGTGAAACTTAACCTTGAAGACCCATTTGCAACCTATAGGAGTTTTATCAGGAGGAAGAGTACAGATTGTCCAAGTCTCAGTATCCTCCAAAGCACCAATCTCAGCATCCATAGGATCGTCCCAAATCAGAAGTCGCTTTGCCTCAGTATAGATTTGGGGTTCTTTAACTTTGTCTATGGAAACTAAGAAGAAAAGGTAAAGAGGAGATAGTTTACCATAAGAAAGAAAATAGGAGATTTCGTGAATGGTTGAAGATCCCACTGAATTACAGTAGTAATCTTGAAGGTAAGCAGGCTTTTTAGTACTCCTGTGTGATGGTTGAGCAGAGGGCTCAAGAACATCAACTGTAGAAGCAGCAGAAGGCATGACATCTACGGAATGGTCGTGAGAAGAAGTCTCAGGACCAGGAATAGAGTGTAACACAGGAGGGTGTTGTATCGGATCAGAAAAAAAATTGATGAGTTCCGGAGAGAGATCCGAGCCAACAAAAGGAAAGAGCTCTTCGTGGAAAATCACATGTCTCGAGATATGAATAGAGTTTGTCTCGAGATCTAAGAGTTTGTAGCCTTTGAATCCAGAGGGGTAACCTAGAAAGGCACAAGCATGAGCTCGGGGTTCGAATTTATGTCTGCTCTTAGGCGAGGTAGAGGAATAACATAAGCAACCGAAGGTTTTTATTTGGGAATAATCGGGAAGCTTGTTAAGCAAAACCTCATAGGGACATTTGTCTTTGAGAATAGGAGCAGGTAAGCGATTTAGGAGGTGTACGGCAGTGAGGATACAGTCACCCCAATATGGAAGAGGGATATGAGATTGAAAAAATAGGGAACGAGCAACATTAAGAATGTGCTGATGTTTACGTTCCACTACAGAGTTTTGTTGTGGTGTTTCGGGACAGGAATGAAACGGCAGGATGCCTTTTGATTGATAGAAAGTGGTGAAATTGAGTTCTGGAGCATTGTCGGATCTAACCCTTTTTACTTTCCTATCAAATTGAGTTTCTACCATTTTGATAAACGTAGGAAAAACATGAAGGACATCCGACTTAGCCTTAAGAAGATAAACCCATGTGGCTCTAGAACAATCATCAACTATGGTTAAGAAGTATCTAAAACCATCATGAGTGGGAATAGAAAAGGGACCCCAGACATCAATGTGGACAAGATCAAACGGATTGTCACAAAGACGATTATGAGAGACGAAAGGAATATGTTTTTGTTTTGAGAGATGACAAATCTTACAATGAGAGTCGATGTTATTTTTGTTTTTGTGAAAAGACAAAATAGACTGCATAGACTGAAGTTTTAAAAGAGAAGGGTGACCCAAACGTTTATGCCACAAGTCAATAGACACAGACGCAGCAACAACAGAGGGTAAAGTACCTTGAAAAGACAGAGACTTAATGTCCAAGAAGTAAAGATTAGCCACCTGTATACCCATTCCAATCATTAATTCCCGTGTAGGATCCTGAATAGAACAAGAAAACTCATCAAACCAGACACGACAATGCAGATTTTTAGTGATGGAGCTGACACTGAGGAGATTGAATTTGAACTGGGGAATATATAGGACATCAGAAAGAACTAAATGACTACCCAAATGTATAGTTCCTATTCCGACAATGTTCACAAGAATCCCATTAGGAAGAGTAACAGTAGTATTGGGAAGAGTTTTATAGGAAGTAAAGGAAGATTGTTGATGAGTTATGTGATTCGTTGCCCCTGTATCTATAACCCAAGTGTTTAAAGCGGTGATATTGCTACTAGTAGAGCAGACATAAGGCCTATCAATTCTGGTAAAAGAACATAGGATAGAGGGATAAAGGTTACTGGATATTGGGCAAGTGTTTGAGGAAGAAGGAATGGAAGCTGGGACAGAGTGAACTTCTGGAATAGGTTGAGCAGATGGAGGCTGAAGCTTGGTGCTGAGGAAGGATACAAGCTGTTGAATCTGAGTTGGGGAGAGATCATCAGTCGAGAGAATGTTGTCCTGTGGAGCATCACCAACTGTCATATTAGCCGACATCTGAGAAGATTTCTGATTAGGCTTGGAGCTTGTTGGATACCCATGTTTCTTATAACAGCGATCCTCAACGTGACCAACTCGATTACAGAACATGCAGTGAGGCCTATCCTTCTTCTGAGAATTGCCTGATTGGCCCCCTGAGGGTGGAATTGAGTTCGAAGTACCCTGACTTGGCAACTGAGATACTTGAAAAGCAGCTGAAGATATATCAGGATTGGTCGAAATACGAGCGTCTTTCTGACTATCTTCTTGATCGAGAAGGTTGTAGACTTCTGACAGAGAAGGTAAAGTCTTCTTCATAAGAATGCGACTTCGAATGTTCTCATAGTTATCGTTGAGTCCCATAAGAAAATCAATGACGCGATTAGCTTCCTTCTCAGCTAAAAGGTCTTCAATGGTGCAAGCAGGAACTTGTATATTCGCCAATTCTTCCCACAGAGCTTGAGTTTTAGTGTGGTAAGATGACAAATCAAGACTGCCTTGACGGAAAGAATTGATCTGTTGTCGAAGCTTGTATAGTCGAGGAATATTGGACTTATGGAAACGAGTGTGAAGATCCTTCCAGATATCAGAAGCATTCTTGATGTAGAGAATACTGGAGTAGATTTTCTTCGAAACACTGTTCATCAGTCACGATTTGACCATACTATTGCAATGATTCCAAATCTTGTAGTAAGGATCACTCTCAGGCGGCTTAACAATCGATCCATCGAGAAAACCTATCTTATTCTTAGCTTCTAAGCTCGTAGTCATAGCAATTATCTAAACACCATAGTTATTTCCATCTAACAGTTCCGATGTTAAGACTAAGCCAGGATGATCTGAGCTATGAAGATGATAAGGCGAGTGTATGTTGTCAGGATGATTCGATACCTCAAAGTGATCGCTATGAGTGGAGAAAGCAGATCGACGATTAACGATGTGATCCGTAACTCCAGGAAGATGAATAGGAGCATCAGAAGCTGCATGCGATTGAGCTGAATGAGGAGCTTCGCCGCGAGACTTCAGAGACTTCGGAGAGTGAGATTCCGGTTAGGGCAGAGTAGATCGACGATACTGTGACTTGCAATTTCTCTTTCCCATTGAAACCGATATCAGCTGAAATGACGAAGAAGTCCGCCGAAATCGCACAGGAAGAGAAAAAATACAGAAAGTGTATCGAGGAGAGAGG